GGACGTTTTTATTATTATTCTGACTTGATTCTTAATTTAAAGTTTACGTAGATCGGGGTGATTAAAGAATGTTTTGATCATTCACTGACATAGAAAACATATGCAGGTGACAGGTAAAGGGCCTGGTTTACTCTAACTGCCTATGTGGCTCTCACTCTGCCATAGAGGTCAATATATATATATATAAGTATGAATGATTATTAGGAGTATGTAAAGAAAAAGAGGACAAAAAGGAGGAACTTATGTGCCAAAAAGGGGGCTACCACCTTATCTGTCCAGATTAGTGGTGTTTCTATTATGAGTTAGATCATGTTAATTTGTGAGTGCAAACAGTGTCCATATGTTTTTTAAGTGGCTTATATAGCTTAAATTTTAGAGTTTTTGAGTTTAATTACTTTTACTTAGTTGTCTACACGCCCTGCGACAGACTGGCGACCTGTCCAGGGTGTACCCTGCCTCTCGCCCTATGACAGCTGGGATAGGCTCCAGCGCCCCCCGCGACCCTGACAAGGATAAGCGAATGGATGGATGGATAGTTGTCTACACTTTCTGGCCTCATCCTGAGAAGTTTACCCTACAAAGAAAAGTTGTTTGGTCGTGGTCTCTTACAGCTGCTTTACGTGTGTAGTACTAACAGCATTGTGTAATACTAACACAAAGACTTAAGATCAGGCACTGTCTCAGCGACGCTGCAAAATAATGTTGTGAATACATTACAGTTATTTTCCAAAAAGTCACTTTTCACCAGCCCAGCACCAAAGTCATTTCTATTCACCTGAGCCAACTCAGGTGAATAGAAATGAATACATCTGAGGGACAGCTCAGGTTGAGCGGTTTGGAAAAAAAAGTACGAGAGGTACATTTCAGATCATTTGGACATGTGTTAAATATGGAACTGCTAAGAAATAAAACAGAGGAAGACAGGGAAGATTCATGGATGCTATGAAAGAGGACATGCAGAAAGTTGATGTGACAGAGGAGGATGCAAGGGATGGGGTGAGATTGAGGTCACCTCTAAAGGGAGCAGGTGGAAGAAGAAGAACTCAATTAGTTGTTTAACACGTTAATGAAGATAAAATTAAGTCAAGTCAAATCAAGTGGCTATGTAGTCATTTCAGCCATGTACAGTGGTACAGTACACAGTGAAACAAGACAGCGTTCCTCCAAGACAACGGTGCTACATATAATAGACAGTCCACACAGAACTACATGAAGTGCAAGTGTTCCGGTGGGTGAGGCCAGATGTAGGTTCAATTCAATTCAATTCAATTTTATTTATATAGCGCCAAATCACAACAAAAGTCGCCTCAAGGCGCTTCATAGATACAGAGAAAAATGTAGGTTGGTGGTAATGGCATCCTCTGTTGACCAGTTGGGGCGATAGTCAGTGGAGTGGCAGCAGGGTCTTAATGAGCCTCATGATGAGCCTCTCGAAGCACTTCGTCATGATGGGTGTGAGTGCAACGGGACGGTAGTCACCGAGGCAGGACACAGAGGACTTCTTTGGCACAGGAACGATGATGGTGGCCTTGAGGCACATTGGGAAGACAGCAGTACTCAGGGAGTATAATACTGTCACTAGTTTATGAGTAGTAGAAATGCAAATAATCATGTCTTTGTCTGCAAAATAGAGTATATAAAGAGTTACAGGACTCTC